TTTGTATGCACTTCATTTAGGAGAGAATTTCTCAACTGTTATAGACTAATATGAACCCTAGGAATAACATGGGATGTGTGCCAAAATCTCTATCCGGGACGAACAGCCCGAAAATGACCACGCCTTTTATTAAATGACCACGCCCCCTTTTTATAAGGTAGGGGGTATTTTCAAATTAAGCTAGACGGTATAAGAAAATAGCAAATGAAAGGGTTTTTGTTCTAAGTGAGCACACGTCACAAGGGAATTAAATTACTAAAATTACGTCTCCGTCACATTTTCCGTTCATATGCAAATTAGCTTGAATATGCAAATTAGGAGTAAAAAAATAGGGCTCCCATGTGCTGAGAACCGCTGGTCGTAGCGAGTTCCTTTCTTTTTAGTTCCTATGCATGTAATGCAATAGGAACTATTGTAATCACTCTTGCTATTTCCTATGTTATTAGTTCCTATGCATGTAATGCAATAGGAACTATTGTAATCACTCTTGCTATTTCCTATGTTATTTATTGTGTGTATGTGTGTGTGTAGACATTTATGCAAATGCGCATGCGTCAAAGAAAAGTTTTCCGACATTTTGTTTTACATCGCGATGCGAAGATCGATGTGAAGTTTCTGCAGAGTTCAGTCAGGGCTCACGCTAACCGACCGGAATGTCGGCATGGATGAAACTATTTTGGTTTTACGGCAAAAACATCATCTGCTGTAGGCATAGGTATTTTGAAGAAGGCCTAAAATAAAACTAAAATGTTTTAATACTTGCTGAAATACATCGTTTCTTCATTTAGATCTCCATTTTTCACTTAGTCCATGCGACGTTTTTTTCTGTTGTATACGTATGAGTAGTCATATGAAGGTACTATATCCCCGACAGTTGGCTGTGCAGCAATGTACCCTTTGAATGCAAATTATGCGGTTGTAGTGTAGTATACGTAGCAGAGTGACGACAGCAAGCTAAGCCTAGCCCAGGGCATAGATCGTGTACGTTCTTGATAATCGTAATGAAAACTTCGGGTGATAGACGATTGGGCCCAACTGGTGTGGACGATCGGACCGAAGATATTTTCAAATAAATTGTAGTCCTAATAGCAGGCCACTGCCAGCACCCCCACTTCCGATATCGTTCCAAACTACGTACTGTAAAATGAAAATACTGTATACGTAGCTAGGCCCTATGCCTACGATATTTTTTCAAAGAAATTTGCTAAAAATGTTATTGTAATTTGCTTGTCGAATTACATTACCAATGTAGTCTGAAATCACTATTTTGGGCCATAAAGACTCCCCCTGTATTTTTTAACCACCACACAAATTTGACCCAACAAATACAAATACATATAAGTATGTATGTTATAATGTATGTATGTATGTATGTATGTATGTATATATATATATATATATATATATATATATATAATGTGTATATGTATGTGTATATATATATATACATATAATGTATATATACATACTTTTATAAATACATATATATACTTATATATGTATATATATAAGTATGTATAGATGTTATAATGTATATATGTATGTGTATATATATATTATATATATATTATATGTATATATACACACATATACATATATACATACTTATATATATATATACACACATATATACATATATATATACATAATATATAGACATATATACGTATATATATATATACATAATATACATACTTATATATATACATACTTATATATATACATACTTATATATCTACATATATACACATATATATACACACATATACATACTTATATATGAGCAATTTCACAGTAAATAGACATGCTCCAAGCAATATTTTTTAGGAAGCTATAACTAAAGATTTTATTGTTTAAAATTAAATATTTTTACATTTATATCATCATATCAATGAGTATACATATTAAAAATCATTTCATGATCACACAATTCATAGTAAAAAAAAATATA